TACAAGCACTGGGCACAGTCAGAAGCATGGGAGGGCAAGAGAATTCACCAGAGCCAGAGCCGGAAACAGAACAGGCAGGAGGACCAAAGTACACTGCTGAGGGGAGCAGTGGGTGCAGCAGGAGAGGTCTGCGTGCCATGCAGGACCCTTGCCCAGCGGCCGGTGATCAAACCGGTGCTACAGAGACTGCAGGCAGCCTCGCAGCCCAGTGCTCAACCGCTGTGTCACCAGGGAGACCCTAAATATCTGTTTTTTAATGGTGTGTTCAGACCATTTATATCTAATGTAATTAATTTGCTTTTATTTAGATTTACCATTTTATTATTCATTTTCTGTTTGCTATTTTTGGTTTTTTTTCCTTGATACAGAAAAAAAAAAAGCAATAGGATTCTTCCCATGTCTTACGGTCCATAGTTCTTATAGCCAGATAGAAGAATTCTCTTTCCTCCAAATTTTAGGCACTGGCATGGCCACCATCACTGTTGCTGTTGTAACTATTGAAGGACTGCCTGGGGGCTATCACAGGAGAAAATGGAAAAGAAAAGGGGAATTGCCCCAACTTTGTAAATCTTAGGGAGCCTTTTACTTTTTTGTTCCTCAGATAAGATAAAAAGGCTTTTCCTGTAGCTATTTCTGCCTGCCCTCGGTGTGTACTTCTGTGTTTTAGGTTGCCTTTGTGTTTGGGCCAAGGTACAACATAGGTGGGAAAAGCAGAAAACTCATTGCCAAATTTTCTTACTTCAGGTACTTGTTTCCTTCTCCATTGTATCTGCTACCATTTACTTTCTAGAATTCTCAGATAGCTAGTCCATACATATTATCTAGAGTAGTTAGCTGTATTCAGGAGGAGAACTATAGTGGAGTGGACTTATTCCGTTTTAGCCAGAACTAGAATCTCCAGTGTCACATTTTCATGTTCAGTTTTCCTGACCTTTTTAATGCATATATGCAAATTTAGAAACATGCTTTACAAAATTAATGTATTAGAAATGTTAGCTGTTTTATTACCTAATGTTTAAAATGCACAATTCTGACAATTATTTTTAATTCAGTAAATATAGATAGACATAATTATTTTTAATTCAGTAGATGTAGATACTTTTTTTTAAAAAAAAAAGATTTATTTATTTATTTATACAAGCATTGGGTACAGTCAGAAGCATGGGAGGGTGAGAGAATTCACCAGAGCCAGACCGGAGAAGAGAACAGGTAGACTGATGAAGCACACTGCTGAGAGGAGCAGCGGGCAGCAGGAGAGGTCTGTGCGCCATGTGGGACCCTCACCCAGTGGCCAGGGATCAAACTGACACAGCAGAGGCTGCGGGCAGCTTCGCAACCCAGCATTCAACCACTGCGCCACCGGGGAGGCCCTAGATAGACATTTTTATGACTGCATACTACTCTACTACCCAGATTACTCAGATTCACTTGATACTCTATAGTTGGGTCTTTAAGGTTCTCCTGTTTTTTTTCCATTATAGACAGCTTTTATGATTATTGTTGCACATACTCTTTATTTATCTGTGCAATTATTTCCTTACAATAAATTCCTGTAACTGGATTTGCTTGGGCAAAAATTACTCACTTTTAAAAATTTTATACCAATTGCTCAGGTGCCTTCCTGAAAAGCTATACCAATTTCCATTCTCACCAAATGAGTAAGATAGAGAAATTTTTTTCAAATCCTCACCTACCTTGAATGTTATTTTATTTTTTCTAACTTTTGCCCATCGTATCACAGAGAGATACTCATTTCTATGATCATCAAAGGCTAAAATTATTCATAGTGCTTTATTTTGATTTGTTGAATTCAATGAATTGATAATAATTTTAAAATATTACATCTATACTTATGGTGATCCTGGTCTATTTTTTTTATTACCTATTTACCATTTTAACCATTTGTAGTATAAAATTCACTGACTCACTTGTATTTACTTGATCCACCTGCCCAGATATGAGAACTCACTTGCTTGAACCCCAAGACTTGCAGGCTGCTGAACTAGACACTGAAAATAATAACAAAAATGTGCCTTACCCATAAGATTAATATTAATATTAAAGAGCACAATAAATACATTCACTGTGCTGTTGGATCATCAGGGCTATTCATATTCAAAATTGGGTATTCATTTCCAAAATTTTCTTCATCACTCCAAACAGAAATTCTGTATCCATTAAACAATAGCTCCCATTCTTTCTACCCCCCACAGCTCCTGGTAACCTCCATTATACTTTCTGTCTCTATGAATTTGCCTATTTTAGATAAGTGGAATCATATAGTATGTGTTCTTTTGTGTCTTTCTACTTGTTGGGGGAACAGTATGTTCTGAATGAAGTCCACCCACTAACCTTTTAAGGACTCCACCTCCACCCTCATGCCACAGAGATCCCAGGTGCCGGAGGACTACAACTCCCATGACTCTTCACTTCTTGAAGCAGGGATTGCTGGGAACGAAGTGTGGAGTTATGCAGCCATGCTTGGTATAAAGCTGAACATAAGTATATGGGCCTGTAGGGGTCTTGGTTTTGCCTGCCTTTAGCATGCATCCAGGGTCCCAGCTCAGATAGTATTACTGGTAGGACTGTTGACCAATTAATCCCTTTCTCTGTGCTCCCCCTCTCCTCATTTCCCTTGTAAACAAACCTTTTACTAACCTTTCTCTGTGTGCTTATCCTTTGGTCTTGTCCTGAGTTTTATTAAGCACTTGAGTGAGGACTCACACCCAAGCCATCCCATTTCCCTTTGGGGTTGCCCAGTAACATTATTTCTCTTAACCTGATGTTTCCAAAGTTCATCTATGTTATAGCATGTATCAGAATTTTTTTCCTTTTTTGAGCCTCCCTGGTAACTTAGGGGTTAGGGCTCAGTGTTGTCACCACTACAGCCTGGGTTCGAGCCCCAGCCACGGAGCTACCCACATGGCACAGCAGACCTCTTCTGACTCGCCCTCTGCTCCCCTCAGCAGTGTATTTCAGTAGATCTGCCTGTTCTGCTCCCCACTCCGTCTTTGGTGAATCCTCTCACACCCTGCACCTCTGGCCTACACCCCAGTTCTCCTATGCAAAAATAAATAAAAATTAAAAAAAAATCTCTTTCCTCTTTCAGACTGAATAATTTTCCTTTTTCTGTATATGACACATTTTCTTATCCACTTTATCAGCTGATAAACATCTGAATTATTTCTATCATTTGGCTATTTAGAATAATGCTGCTATGAACATTGCTATGCAAGTATCTCTTACAGAATCTATGTTGAATTCTTTTACATATTTACCTAGAAGTGGAATTTCTGGGTCTATGGTAATAATGTTTAACTTCTTTTTTTCCAAAGATTTATTTATACAAGCAATGGGCACAGTCAGAAGCACGGGAGGGTGAGAGAACTCACCAGAGCCAGAGTTGAGAAATCACCATATTGTTTTTGACAGGAGCGGCACCATTTATAATTCCAGCCAGCAATGGAACAGCGCTCTAATTTTGCCACACGCTCACCAACACTTGTTGTTTTTCTATTTAAAATAGCCATCCCAATAGGTGTGAAGTTATCTTCAAGTTTTTTTTTAAGCTATCTTTACTAGATTTTGGTATCAAGAGACTCTTTCCTTCTTTTTTGCACTTTGGAATATTTCAAATAACATAGACATTTTCTTTCCTCTGAGGGTTGAAAGAACTTATCAGAGGAACTGTCTGAGCCAGATTATTTTCTCTATTTCCTCACTGATTAATAATATAAGAAACTTCTCTAACTTTTCTGGAGCCTTTTGGGTAGTTTTTGTTTTCCTAAAAAATTACGTATGATTTTTGTATTATACATATGTACATATGTATATATGACATGAAGGGTTCGGATTTTCTTTTTCACTACAAATATATATATGTGATATTTGTCATTTCTAATATTGTCTCATTGCTCTCTCTCTCTCTCTCTCTCTCTGTCTCTCTCTTAGCTTTCTTAGGTATGAATTTTTTTCTCCAAAGAACAAGCTCTTGGAATTTTTCAGAGTTCCTCTGCTTTTCAGTTGTTGTCAGGTTTGTTGCTCTAGGGAGCAGACTTTGGGAGTGCCTCCCTCAGGGGTCTCAGTCACTATGGGAGTGCCCCCTCACAGGGCAGCCGGGGGTCATGATGAGAGCATAAGCTTTGGTGCCATTGGTCTGAGTTCAACTGGTCATTCCTTTATTTCCCAGCTATATGACCTTGACTTAACCTCTCTGTGCTTTTGTTCCTCCATCTGTAGAATGGGGACAATACAGTGCCTGCTTCATAAGGTCAATATTAATATTAAAGAGTTGATCTCTGTGAGCTCTTAGCAGAGTAGCTGGCACATAGCAAAACCATATAAATATTTCTTTTTTTTTTTTTTTACATTTCACCCTTTTATTATTTTTAAGATTTTATGCTCCTTACTCAATTTTTATTATCTTTTCTAATTGAGATAGCATTGGTTTACAAAACTGTATGTGATATAGAGGAATAGGTTCACAATTCTTTTTTTTTAATACATAATCTTATTTTATTTTTAAACAATATTTGCTTCCCTCCACCCCCTCAGATTGAGTCCCCATAGAATTACCTTCTCCAAGGCACCGTGCACCATCACCCCGTGCACCATCACCGCAGTCCCTTGTGCTCCTCCCTTCCTCCCTCTGATGCCTCTCCCTCCTCCTCCCCTGCAGGATGTCTCTGATTTATAATTGTCTGTTTTTGCTTTGTTGCATTTTGTACTGTTATTACATTTTTTTTACACTGATGTCTTATTTGGTTCCCCTATATTCCTGTTATAAGTGAAACCATCCGATATTTTTCTTTTTCCTTCTGGCTTATTTTACTGAGCATAATTCCTTCTAGCTCTATCCACATTGCTGCAAATATTTCTTAAATAAATCTAAACTTCCCTCCAGCATGCTAAAAGCCTGGGTCCCCTTGGAGCCTCTCCATTCCCCATATACACTGTATACCCCTTCCCACTACTTACACGAGCTGCCTCTTCTTTTGCAGTACTACCTCTGTACAGAAAAACAACCACATAACTTTCCATTCTGCCGCCTGAGACAACCACTTCCTCCTCACATGCTGCAGGCCCCGATGGAGAGCTCAGGTCAGTATGATCAGGGGAGGGGGTCTGGGCACTTGAGAAGAATGTTCCCAGAGCTGGCGCGACTGCCGCCATCAGCCAGGCTGTGAGACTCCAATTCCAATGTGAGAATAATGACAGTAATAACTAAGAATTACTACCGAACATGAGTACTTACTGAACAAAAATGTATATAGTGCTACACTTCTTTTATTTTTAAAGAAGTCACATGGTCACATAGATATTGGATTGTTGAATTAGGACTGAAACTCAGTAATGTAGTGTCCAGGCTCATTTAATGACTTCATTATGGATTGCCTCATGCAAATGTCAGAAGGAATCTATAAAAAGAGGGTGATCAGTATTATTAAACTCATTTTACTGGAAGAGATACTGAGGTTTATAGAGGTTAGGTTATACCGCAAAGACTCAGAGCTAATAAGTGGCAGAGCCAAGATTGGAATTCAGGTTTACTTGATCCAAAATCCAGATTCTTCACCCCATGACCCCTTCATCCAGATATGTATTATCTAGTGGTCACCTGACATGTCAGAGACCACTTCTGAGGCCACCTGCAATGCCCTGGGAGATCCCCGTCCTGGGGAAGGGGAATGAATACCCAAAGGCAGGGAGACCTATCAGGTTATTATTCCCAAACGTGCATTCCTTCCACTCACCCTTAGAGAGCCTCGCCCGGTCAGAAGCACTGGCTGAGTAGGGCAGCCCAGTGAATCCCAGTGTTGTACTATCCAGGTTGTCTTTAATCAACTGGGGTTTGGACTGGGAGAACAGGTCTGGCCCAGCGCTGTAAAATCTTCTAAATATTTCAATATCGACTTACTTTGCACTTATTTTAATTATAACAATAAATGCACTCTGTTTTAGGAGTACTGATATAGTTTCTTTGGATACAGGCAATAGAAACCCATGTAGGTCATTTAATTTATAAATAATAAGGTGGCCAAGCATGGAAGGAGAAGCTGGTACCAGGCACCAGACTGTCCTCTGTGAACTATGAGCATTTTGTCATTGATTCCTTCTTTAACTAATAGAACACTTATCTGGAACTCCAAGCTTATCACCTGAGACAATAATTCCCATTCTAGCTCTATACTAGATTTTCCTGGGGGACTATTAAAAATTTGATCCCTCCCACCCCCAGCTCTGACTTTACTGGTTTGAGTTCGGCTGCACATTGGTAATTTTTAAAGCTTTCCAAGTGAGTCTAATGTGCAGCTGGGAACTAGGAGAAAGGCAAAACCTCTTAAGAGGAACATGGGGAAAGATCACCTCTCTAATACGGAAGGACAATGGAGAGCTGGAATTGCTGGGTCCTAGGCCAGCTTAGAATGCCCTGAAATTGAGGAGCAGACCTTGAACTATGAGGATCCTATCATGGTCAGGACCCCATAGTGCTTTTTTCTCTCTACCTTCCTCCAGATTGTCTCCCTAGCTGTAATAATACCTAGCTTGAAGATGGAGAGCCTTTACTCAGGAGATGTTACCAGGAGCATTTACTTCTGCATTCAAGCCCCAGGCACACATAGATGGACATAGACTCATAGTCTCACCTGGATATTCCTCTTCTCGCATCCAGGCAGGTAAATGGTCACCTGTAAGAATGCAGTTTAGAGGAGGAGCATTTGACAAAGACAAAGTTCTGCTCCAACAGCTCTATGGCCTTGCAAACATCTCTTCCCTCTGAGTCTCATCACCCCATCTATAAAATGGAAAGGGAGCCCCTGAGGTCCTTTTAGGTCTGATCTTCTGTGGTTGGAGAGGCAATATAAGACCAGGGTGAGGCTCTCATCCTAGAATCTATAAAACAGGGAGAACAGTATTTATCCTACCAAACTCATGGGGCTCTTGTCAGAATCAAATGAGAGAATGTATTAGAGAATAGTTGTGTACCTGTGAATAAGTCAGGGAATGCTAGCTGCTATAACAAATGACCTCAACATCAGTGGATTCATAAAACAAATGCTTATTTATCACTACATCAAAGAGTCCAATCTAGGCCCCAAAGGGTCTTTAGAATTTGAGACTTCTCTCTTTGGCACCATCTTTTTTAACATGTGCCTTCCAAGGTTCCTTCCAAGGAAGTGGAAGAGAGAGCTTGGAGGATACTGCAGGAGATTTCATAAGTAGGCTTGAGTGGCATAGATCACTTCCACCACGTACCAATGGCCACTGCTCTGTCACATGGCTACTATCTAATCACAGGGAAGTGTGGGAAATGTAGTCTTCTTATCCACTTAGAACAAAAATGAAATTAATTCAATGAACACATGACATTATCTTGCCACACCTATATAAGACTGTGTATCTTTCAAGTGTTATTTAAATGTTAGGAATTAATAGCAATATTGATACCCCACTTTTCTGAATGGAAGATGGAACAGAGGATAATAATAATATCATTCATTTTTGGCTATCCCTTCAAGAATAATGTTAGACATGCATATTATATATAAATAACCCTGGGACATATATTTGCACATGAAATATTTGTCTTTTGCTTAATCAAGTCAAATCCAACCTGAAGCTTTCATTTTCCAAGGTCATTGTGAATTCATTGTCACAGCAGTGCCTCTACCTCCTCCTTGAAGTCTTGTGAGAAGCCCAGGGCTTACAAAGTCTGATGATGGGAAAAGGTTGAGTTCTTCAGTCCACTGTGGCTACAGTTTCCAGAATAGTTCAGACAGGCTTGCATGGTCCATAAGGAGAGAGGGTCCTCTTTTGGGGACCTTCTTGTGCTGTCGTGAAGGTGGGCCAGATGATCACAGCAGTGGCACACAGAGTTGAGTGTTTAACCACCTTCAGCTGAGACCTTTGCCACTACTGTTAAGCTATATCCCAGCCAGCCCTAGTCTGCCTCATTCTCTGGGTCCCCATAACCCCTGTACCTTTGAAGTCTTGGGGAATCTAGCCTCTCTTGTTGCTCTCCTCTTTAAATAGAAGCAGCAACCTTCCTCCGTGTCCTTTGTGGACAATGCAGGCTTGACTGTCTCAGTCAGATAGCCAGGGATTTGAAATTCAAATGACCAGGTAGAGGATGTAAGTGAATGAAACTTGGAGCTTGGGAACTGTAAGATCTGGAGAAGATGTGGCCCTGTTGTATGTCATATGTGAGAAGGATGCATGCCCAGTGTCAACAGATTTTCGAGATATGCCAGAAACCCAAACTTTTATGCAAAGTCTCCTGATTTGTAAATGTTGGCAGCTAATTCATTTTTTTTCAAGACTCTCTACAAGTCCAAACAAAACACGTCTGCAAGCCAGATGTGGACCCAAGCCTGAGAGTTTGTTCCGGCTGCCCAGACTTTCGAAAACAAAGTTTATTTGGGGTTGTCTCCCAGGGCTACTGGCAACTTCTCTGTTTTTCTCTGAAACATAAAAACTTAGCTCCCTCTGCAAAGCAGGGGAAACTAGGGTTCAGAAGACAAAAGCTTGGCTGCCCTTCCAGAGGTAGGGAGGAAATCACAGCAATCACAGGTTTAAGTCTGTGTGCAGTCTATGGTTCAGGGGGTGGGGGAGAAGAAATGAAGGGGGGGCAGAGAGAGAGAGGAGAGAGAAGAAAGAAAACATTTGAATCTTCATGCAAAGTGGAGATGGTAGATGGAAGGACAGCTCGTGACATGGTTTTCTCCAGCTTGGGAGGATGCTGTACAGCTCAGCGTAGTGGCAAGATGGGCAAAGATGGGCTGTAATAGGCTGCCCACTACCTGCCTGCTTTCATCTTGGAGTTGACTGAAAATCAGTCCTTGACATGGTCCTGGGGGACAAGTGGGAAGCAAGGGGAATGTGAGGATTTCAGATATACCAGAGGACCCCACACACGTGGCCCACCCCTAAATCATGGAGTGTCCAGCCTGTGAGTGCCAAGGCCTAAACAAATTCTGACTCCCGAACCATATTCTAACTGACTAAAATTTGTAATCGCTAGCCCGCCTACTTCCAAAGGAATCAGAAGCCATTAAGACACATGTTTAGTAGAACATAAAGCAAACATGCCTAAGGGAAGTCTGTGCCACTCGAAATGAGCCCATTTTTTGAGGTTGGCCTCAACTTAGCTGTAATTTCCTGACAACTATGACAAAAGGGGAACCCCTGGGCCATGTGGTTTGTCTTATCTTACTCCAGAGAATGTGCATTTGCCTATAAAGAGACTCTTGGTTGGAGCTGATCATAAAGAGCAATTTGTTGTTCAGGGTGGGTCTCCCATACTACTGGTGTTAGTCCAGTGCTTCCTGGAAGAAGATACCAAGGCAGGGTTATACCCCCAAGAATTTATGGGGATAGAAAATGGAGAAGAAGCTGTCAGACCCTGATGGAAATCTGACTCCATATAAGGCGAAAAGGAAGAAGGATTGGGTGGAAATACGTTAGACTGATGGGTGTTGGAGAAAGGCTCAGCGGGGCAGTTGGGAAATCCTTGAGCCAAAGTCAGCCTTTCAGGAAGGTCTGTGAAATCTCACTGGAAGAGCCTTTTGATACTCCCCACTGCTTTCTGTATGGGCTGGGAAGCATGGCCTGGGCACAAAGCCCCCCCACCCTCATTCCCTTGGTCAAGCAAATGCCTTGTGGTGAGAGATGAGTGAGGCACATTTCTGGACTACACATTTTCCAGATGTCAGTTATTCTTGTACTACCTCACACCATTGTGATGTCAACTTGTCACACAGTTGAATTAAAATATACTGACACTTTTTTTTTAAAGATTTATTTATTTATTTATACAAGCACTGGGTACAGTCAGAAGCGCAGGAGGGTGAGAGAATTCACCAGAGCCATAGCGGGGAATAGAACGGGCATATTGACAAAACACACTTCTGAGGGGAGCAGAGAACGTGGCAGGAGAGGTCTGTGGCACCATGTGGGACCCTCGCTGGTGGCCGGGGGTTGAACGGGCGCTGCAGAGGCTGCGGGCACCTTCCCAGCCCAGTGCTCAACCGCTGCACCACCAGGGGAGGCCCTACTCTGACACTTTTTAAAATGGTTGGGAAGACTTTACTCAAGACTATTCCCACAAGGGAGAAAGACGGGGCTCAACTCTGAATTAGCCAAAGAGAGCTGGAGATTCAGAACCAATGAACAGAGTGAAGGGTTAGTGGGTAGAGGTGGGGGGCTCTTGCTAAAGTAATCTAACAGGATTCTTGCTAGAGGTATGTCAAGGACTTAGAAATCAAAGGTAGGGGGTTGAGGAACTCAATCAGATATCAAGGATGGGGGTTTCTCTATAAATGACAGCGGGGTTATTGTCGAAAGTGGGCTAGGCAGAGCAAAGACAAGCCAGGGGCCAAGGTCAGGACCTAATGGAGAAGGGAACTCACAGGAGTGTTAGTGACGTTTGGTCATGGAGAGAATTATTTGTTTATTTGACTTTAAATTTTAGTTTCATGTAAAGGTTGGAGAACTAGTTATTTTTTTCTCATACATATGAAAGTAAGTGCATGATGATTCAAATTTTAGTATAGGTTGTGTACCATCTAAAATTGTCTTGTACATCACTGGAGATACACAGTGGTACTTAGGAAATGCTGGTTTTACAAAGAGCACAGAAATGCTGATTGAAGGGCTATGTCTGGTCCTAGCCCTATGCTGGCCACCAGCTCTAGGCTGATTTATTCCTAGAGGGGATAAAGACATTCTCAGGGGGAGAGGAGGTAAGACCAATGGGGGCTGAGCTCGAAGCACCTGACCTCAAAGCACCCCACCCCACCCAGATGTGGAACTGGACCTCCAGCGGAGCGTGCAGGCTGTGCTCCGGGAGCTCAGCACCCAGGCCCCTGCCCTGCAGAGCAATCAAGGTAAGAGCCAGCAGGCAGGTGTCTGTCTGCTCCCCCACCTTGAACCCCTCCAACTCTGCTCCCATGATCCAGGAAAGTGCCCCAGCCTGAAGCTCATAGAGTGAGGGTCTTCCCACAAGCCCCCTTTCTGCAGGAAATGCCTAGAGCCTAGAGAACCAAGAAGAGTTCTCTGTACCCACCTCCCCTGTGACTGTAGCAGTGCATACTGGGGATGTGCCGCCCCCTCTCTTAACCACCTTCCCCAATTCTCCTTGAGAACAAAATTCCCCTTAGCACTCCAGGCCCACATGACTTCCAAAACTGCAACCATTGTTGCGCCATAAGCCACACGCTCATGCCTGTCCCCACCAGTTTCCCACCTCCCCCCTTTCTGCCCTGTAATTCGCTGTCCACAAAAGGCGACTTGTCAGAACTCCCACGTGGAAGAAGCCTACCCTTGTGCTCCTGGAGCCAAGCACTTGCCTGAAGGTTCAAAGCCATGGTCCCCAGGGGCTCCAGGGCTCAGGGACCTGCTCGGAGGGTCTTTCTAAGGACCTGCACCTCACCTGGTTGCTCTGGGCTCCCCTTTTTCCTGGCCCAGGTATGTGGAGATGGTCCCTGCACAAGAAGGTGGAGCGAGATCCTCATAAGAGCCCGGCACTGGTCCGAATTCTACTCAGAGAACTCGAGAAGGTGGGTTTGAGGGCTTGGGTGGGAGTGGAGCAGGACAGGATGAGCAGAAGAGGCAGTCAATCTGACTGGGGTCTCAGTCCCATCAGCACTGTGTCCCCACAAACTTTGGTCTTTGATAGACCACCTGCAAGATAATGGCAGCATTTCTCTCCCTGCTGTGCCTTTTTATAAGCATCATTGTATTTTCACTGACTCCCATTGTTTTTTTTGTTTTGTTTTTAATTTTTTAAATTAATTTATTTGTTTGTTTGTTTGTTTGTTTTGTTTATACAAGCACTGGGTACAGTCAGAAGCTAGGGAGGGTGAGAGAATTCACCAGAGCCAGAGCGGGGAGCAGAGCAGGCAGAAGGACCGAAGTACACTGCTGAGGGGAGCAGCGGGCGGCAGGAGAGGTCTGCGCGCCATGTGGGACCCTCCTCCGGTGGCCGGGGAGCAGCCGGGGATCGAACCAGTGCTGCAGAGGCCGCGGGCAGCTTCGCAACCCAGCGCTCAACTGCTGCGCCACCGGGGAGGCCCTGACTCCCATTGTTTTAATTGAATTAACTCGAAAGGAAACTCTATGACAGGTCCATAAATGGAAAACTCACATCACTTGTCAGAAACAAAAAGCACTTAGAAATATAAATGTATAACAATTCAAAAATTCCAAAATGATCATTATACCACCTAAAATTATCCTCCAACCAGCCAGTGCTCTAGGGTGTGTAGGGTGACTGTGTAGGGTGACTGCATTCAAGGGGTCCTCCAAGCTGGGGACTTTTACTTGCCATTTTGCTGACAACTCCTGCCCTGAGTGATGCTGCCCCTCAAAGCTCCCCCATACCTTCACAGCTGTGCCCCCACACCCATGCTCTTGCCCCACCCCCTTACTCTGCCCAAGATGGACTATGGCTCTCTTTCTTTGCCCGTGGTCTGGTGGGACACTGCCTTCCACTCCATGTCCTGCCTGCCCCTTACCCCCCAAAAATGCCTCTTGAAAGGATGAGGCAAGCCCCCCTCAACCCTCAGCTCAATAATTGCCCTATGATCTATTTTCTAGGCAGAAAGGGAGGATCTCCGGCATGTCATCATTCCCTTGCTGCACACTCTAATGTACGTGCTCGCTAAGGTGAGCTGGGCTAAGAGTTGGGGTGGCGTGGTGACCCCCAAGTGGTAGGTCAGGACACTCTCCTCTCCCTTCCATGGACACCCCCTCTCAGCCTCAAAGAGCTCTTGGATTGCCTGCGCTGAACTGGCTTCTCTGCACTCCTGCACCCTCTTCCTAGTACCTACAGAGATGAAATTGGGGAGACCCTGGGGAAATGCATTGCCTTGACAGAGCAGAGAGTTCTGGAGAGGAGTTGATCTGCTGGTGAGATGAATTTCCATCTTGATAGGAAGTCTGGCAGATGCTAGGAGAACAGGCTGAAGGTGTAGAATTGGAAGAGACGTGTGAGCCCAGTCCAGCAGGCCCAACCTCCCTCTTCTCTTAATCCACCCCACTCAGGGTCTGTTGTGACCTGGAGTGCTGGGTACCCCAACTCCTCCCTGTCACACAGGCCACAGGGGTCACAGAGGAGCTCTACAGGAGAACCTATACCTTTTGCATGCGGTTACTGACCCTGCCCGCCCCCTACTGCACGGTGGCCCTGGACTGTGCCATTAGGCTGAAAACCGAGACAGCAGTCCCAGGTAAGACCTGCCCGAGGCTTTCCGGGTCCCCTGTGCAGCTCCACCCAAGTTACTGCTCTTTTCTCTAGATTCTGGGGTAGTCAGAAGTCACAGCATCTATTTGCTGTGGGAAAGCGGGAGTGGGAATCAGAGACTCAGGGTTGATCAACTTCACAGAGACTCAGGGTTGATTGACTTCACAGGGACGCTGTACCAAAGGCTGGTCATTGCTGAACAGAACTTGACGAGTGAACTGTATCCCTACCAGGAAAGGTGAGTGGCCCCAGGAAGGATGCTGGGGCCCAGGTGCTGGGACCGCATGACTGCTTCCTGAGGAGGACGAGAGGAGGCTGGATTGAGCGAGGCCTGCAGTGCAATCAATCATTGGCCCAGCGGGGGGTGGGGGGGTGACTTTCCAAGGGTGGACAGGTGTGACTGCCAGCAGCTTAGGCCATTCTTGGAATGGATTCAGAGTCATCCTGCCCAATGCAGAGGGTGGACATGACCATTGGACCGCTCTGGAGTTCCATTGTTCCACCTCCATCCTGCCCTTTGCCATGGTAGGGAATCAACAAGCCAGGCAGCAGCTTATCCATATAGAGGATGTTCAGGCCCTACTCACACCATGAAATATGGGGGGCTTTCATCTGTGCGTGCCTAGCCCTTTAGATAAGACTGAGGAAATGTCCACTATTCATGTTGGGGAGAGCAGTTGATGGAGTTGGGGTACATAGCTTCCTCCCTTGCAGGTACCTCCCTGAACTGGCACTGAAAGGCACAACTTGAGATTGTGTGTTCGAGAAGGATACAGGGAGGTGAAGGGATCCAGAGGAATTAGCATTGGAGAGGTTGGGCCGACACAGTTGAATATGGAGGGGGTGGGAAGTTTTCTGAGTGGTAAGGCTGTTGAGAGAAGGTGCTCAGAATCCAGAGCTCCAGTTTCCACAGGAAGGATTTAGGGTCCCTCTTAGAGGTAATGTGGTTAATGGGCTATGACACTGAGGGAACAAGATTCAGGTTGGAACTTACCTAACATGAGACTAGCGCAATCTAGAGGGATCAGTGCCCTAGTCGAAGGGCCATGCACACTTTTATTTGCCACAGTTTCCACCACTCCCTATTGTGCCCTGCTATAGACTTTTTATAGACTTTTTTGAGGAGCTAAATAACTGGAGGGCTACAAGACTCTGAGAGTGCCCCTCCAGTGCTCCTTCTCCCAGGCGTCATCTGTGTTGGTTTCCCCACCCCCACCTCTGCCCTCAGAGTATTCCTCTTCGTGGATCCTGAGCTGGTATCGCCTTCGGTGTGCAGTGCCCTGCTGCTGGAGATCGAGGCGGCCCAGGTGCAGCAGACTCCGGAGGCCTGCATGCGCCATGTGGTCTCACATGCCCTGCAGGCGGCCCTGGGGGAGGCCTGCCACACCGGGGCTCTGCAGAGGAAGCTGCAGGTAACAGCCCGACCTAGCCCTGGTTGGTTCTGGCCCAGGTCCTTACACACAACTGGTCTTCCCCCTTCTGTTTACTTATCACCTCTTTCCCTAAATCAAAAACAAACACATATTTGCCATGGAAAACCTGGTTTAAAAAAAAATGCAGTTTAGTTATAGAAGAAAATAAAACTCACCTCCCTCTACCCAGACATAGTAGCAATGTACATTTTGATCATTTCTTTAATAATGATGATGGTAATCATAATGGCTACCTTTGTAGTCTAGGCACTGTGTTAAACACTTTACATGAGTCACATTTTTAAAGTTTTCACCTCAACATTGTGAAATGAATAATATTACCCAAGCTAAAGCACAGAGAAATTGATGACCTACTCACAGTCACACAGATACAAAGTGACCGTGTCAGGGTTGGTACCAGCACTCAGCCACATTGTGGAGGAATGCCCTTCCCAATTGTACCTAAGCCCCATCTTGGTTTTAGCACAGATGCCCATAGTCCCTAACGTGGTCTACTGTCCCCTCTCCCTGCATCTGGCCGTGGCTCTCAGGAGCCTGGGGAGGGGAGGACATTTCCTGACCATAATCTGTCTGCTGCCCCCACTTGCCCCTCCAGGAGCTCTGGCCATTGTTTCTCACTCACCAAACAGGCCATAGTGAAGGTGTCATTTTGACTTAATCAAGGGGCTCTCTAGCGCATGTCAGCTACCCTTCCCAAACCTTCTGAGGCCTCCTGCTCCCGTATCTAAAATTCGGGGATGCCATTCCTAGTCATACTTTGCTGGCTCCACGACAGATGGGCCTGGGAGAGGTGACTCGGCTGGTCACTGTCTGGGGGGTAGGTCTTCTCTAACCACCAGCCCACATCCTGTCTGCTGAGGGCCAGGTCTGAGGTCCACATGGGGAGTAGATGGGTCTCCTACTTGTCCACTGACAAGATCTCAATACTGGAAGGTCAGCTTGGGATAACCTGCCTCTCTGATCTTCTAAACTATGTTCTAGGTGGGGAAGATGGGGTGTCTCTGGGTACGGAGACCCAGGGGAGGCTTTGCAAAGCCTTGAAGCCAGGGGTTTTGGAGAGATGTGGGAACGAGGGCCAAGGAGATGTGTCTGGAGACACAGCATTGAAAACTAGCTCCCGGTGGGTTGGCAGCAAGGCTTGAAACCAGCTTCTTGGGCTCTGAGGTTCCTCTTTCCCTTGCTTCTTCATTCTACTGAACTCCATGAAGAATTTCCCTATGACTGATTCCATAGTTGAGCTGGTCATGTAGAGTTGTACCAAATTAGGGCAAAGGACCTTGTCTGCTGGTCATTGGATATAGACTATCCCCAGGATGGGGGACTTGACCCCAGGTGGCTTTCTTCAGTTGAAGGCAATTTGGGAGAGCTGTCAGCTGCCTGCACTCTCAGCAGCACCAGGGCTAATGAGTCCTCAGTCCTGCAAGTGGGAATCTGGTGGCCACCACACATCTACCACAGCATGTCACACAGAGTCAAAGCCAATGTCGTTCAGTGGCCAATAAGACCCTTCTGATCTGCCCCCAACTCCTTTCCTCTCTGATCCATCTCCTGTTCTCTCTCTCTTTTTCTCTCAACACTCATCTACACAGCCTTCCTTATTGTCCCTCAAACAAGCCAGACATGCTCATGCCCCAGAGCCTTTGCATTTGTGATTCTTTATGCTTAAAATGTTCAGTTTTCCACATGGCTTTCTCTTTCACTCCCTTCGGGTCTTTGCTTAAAGCTCACCTTTCAGTGAGACTTTCCTGATCCTACACTATCTAAAATTTCATCCCCCCTTCCCCTGCCAATTTCACAACCTCTTCTGATATATTTTCTCTTCAGCACTTATTGTTATTTATCATGCCATAAATTGTAGTTATATGTCTACTATCACACACACACAGATACACTACAATCTAAGCCCAGTGAGGACAGTGCTTCGTTCACTGCACACCCTGACACCTACTATGTGCCAGGAGATGTTTTAGGTGCTGGGGACAGAGCTGTAAACAAAACAGACAAAACCGAAGCCTTCTCAGAGTTACAGCCTGGGAGGGGTAGGACATTGATCCAAGAGCTTGGAGATGCTCCAAGGAGAGAGCGATGCTCCAGGGCACCAAGATGTGAAGGGGCACCGCAGCTGCATGCAGCGTCCCGCAACATCTGTGGTGGCGCAGGAGCTGGGGCCCAGGAGGTACCAGGCAGAGACCTTCCTAAGCAAGCTCCCCCGAGCCCCGGGGTGGAGCCAAGGCCTTACGGACTTGAGGTGGGATCTGCGGAGGGTGGGTGCTGGGCCAGGACCCAGTGTCTGACGTCGTTTTCCAACAGGCCAGTTCCCGCCGCGCCCTGGTGCGCTATTTCCACGCGGTGGTGGCCGCGGTGGAGCAGATGGCCAACGAGCCCAACCCCAGCCGGGAGGGACACCTGGAGCGCCTGGAGGAAATCTACAGCTCGCTGCTGGGCCCAGCGGCCGCCGCCAGGGGGCGCTGCGGCGGTAAGCGACGGGCGGATCGGAGGAGGCTGAGATCTGGGGACCCTGCATGGGGGCGCTAGAGAGCAGCGCTGCACTGCCCAGGGCTGGCATGAGTGTGGGCTGCGCGGCGCGGGTCCCTAGGCTGCTCCTGGGAATGCGAGGACTGAGGACAAGTTCCAAGCTCCTGGGCTAAGAAGGTGGGCAATTCAGGCAGGTAACAGCTGATACCTACAGGGCACCAGATGTTGTTCTAAACACTGTATGTATTTAAATTTAGTACATAGATTAGATCAATGAATCCTTAGACTGTGATTTAAAAAACTATTATTAATCCCCATGTTATAGATAAGAAAACTGAACTAGAAAGTGGCTAAAGCACTTGCCCAGGACCACCCAGCTGTTACGTGGCAGAGCGTAGATTGAAACCCTGACTGTCTAGTTCTCCGCCACTATACTGTAGGAGCCGGAGCACGCACAGATCATGAGAAGCACAGCTAAAATAACAGCGGAGTCAACATCAATTACACTGCATGGCAGCACAGATTATTATTCCGCACACTTGCTTTCTACTTAGATTTTTATGAGATGATGCTGGTAGGAAGCTAGTCCGTATACATTGGGAAACCCCGAAATGAGCTCAGAGAAGTGTCCCAGAATGTGTATTTCTGGCTGTTGCCCTGGTTTTTGTCCCTTTCCGTGGTCACCCAAAGTACTCTTGGAATTTGCCCGTCACATCCAGACCTGCCTCCCACCCAGACTTGCCCTGCTCAGCTTGATCACCAGCCAGCACCTCTGTTGGGCTACAAGGGCAGCATGGGAAATGGTTATGAGTACAGTGTCTTGGGTGAGAACATGGACTCAGCTGCCTGGACATGGACTCATTCTGGCTCTACTACTTACTCTGTGATCTTGGGCCACTTAGCCTCTTTGTGCACCAGTCTCCTCTATAAGGTGGGGATAATAACAGTACCTGTGACCCAGACAGATAATGATGTACACAGGAGGTGGTGAACAGTGCCTGGCAGGAGTAAGTGTTCCCTGAAGGTTGGCTGTTCTCTCCTAAGGAAGCTCGCAGCCTCACTGAGGAGGAGGCAGGCTATAAAGAAGTGAAACAGGCAAATGAGAGCCGAAACCCAAGGCTTGCAAGTCAGGTGTGCTCAAGTGTGCGGCCAGTGTGGTCCCTGGGGAGGGAGTGACCTTGGGCTGGAATGGCCAGGAAGTTTCTGGAAGGAGAAGAGGGCGAAGGGCTGTTCCAGGCTCGCCCTGGACTGCCAGATTCCTGCTGTCCTTAGCACTTGGCTGACAAAGTCTCTTCAGCATCACGCATAGGAGCACATTTTGAGTGTCTGCTGTGTGCAAGAGACTAGGTGAGGCCCTGAGAAATACAGAGGCCTCTTCCTCATCTGGATGTAGACAGGCCTCTGAGAGCAATGGGAGAGGCAGCAGGGGCAAGGAGGGCAGGGAGGGGCTGGCAGAAGCAGTGGGAGAAAAGCTGGGGAAAGACACCATTATTAGTGCAGGGTCCTAAAGACTGAGCTAGGAAGTTTGCAGGCAACAGGGAGGGGCAGGGACAGGCCAGCTCAGGATTAGGCCCTGGATGAACTGAGGTGAGGCAGAGAGGGAGAAGAAGACTCACAAGACCTGATTTGAAAGAGAGGTTCTCTGCCACCCCCTATAAGCCCCATACGGGAGCTGGGGTTATCCAGGAGGTGAGAAGGCAGAGGAAACTCCCACAATCCTCTCCTCCATGGTTTCCACAGCCTGCTCCTTCCTTCAGGTAGCACCCTGCAAGACCGGCCGCCAAGCATCCCTCTGCCCAGCCCACACATCTCCTTCCACCTGTGGACGGATGAGGAACAGCTCTGTAAGTGCTATGACCTTGGCCTCCTCTGTGGGCAGCTGTGTGTGTGTGTGTATATGTGCGTGCACGTGCGCACATGTGTGTGTTCCTTGTGGTCTGGAAGGACACATTCTCTATGTCAGAATAGCTCAGTGCATTAGCCACTGGCCTCACCTGCCTTGATGACACCAGTGCACAGTGCATGTCCCAAGAGGAAAGCAGTCACAAAAAGATATGGTTCCTGGGCCTGGGAGGTCTGCCAGAGAAATGTCCTTGTCTCACATGCACCTCCACACTGGGGTTGCTGTCTCACTGTTCCCCTGGCTCTTACCAAGGGAGATGGGAGGAAAAGGGTTAAGGTTGAAATGGGAGGTGCTTGACTGGTGAACTGGGTCACCCTAGGCTCTGTTCTCTATGGGCCTCAGTTTCCCCAGGGATAGGAAAGTGGATTAGAAAGCCTGTAGTTGACAGTCTGTCACCTGTGTCCTGGGTAGGTTATGGGTAGGTTATATCCCTGGAACAGGGATATAAAAGAGCCACCCCTGGTGGCTCAGGGGTTAAAGACAGTGCTATCAAGCTATTGCCAGCCACTACAGCACAAGTTCGATCCCTGGCAGTCCAGGGAGCTACCCACATGGCACAGCAGACCTCTCCTGTCTCACCCGCTGCTCCCCTCAGTGTATTTCTTTCTTTTTTTTTTTTAATAGAGGCATGTTTTATTTATTTATTTGTTTGTTTGCTTGTTTATACGTGCACTGGGTACAGTCAGAAGCGCGGGAGGGTGAGAGAATTCACCAGAGCCAGAGCAGGGAGCAGAGCAGGCAGAAGGACCGAAGTACACTGCAGAGGGGAGCAGCGGGCGGCAGGAGAGGTCTGCGCGCCATGTGGGACCCTCCTCCGGTGGCCGGGGAGCAGCCGGGGATCAAACCGGTGCGGCAGAGGCTGCGGGCAGCTTCGCAACCCAGCACTCAACCGCTGCACCACCGGGGAAGCCCGTCAGTAGTGTATTTCTGTAGATCTGCCTGTTCGGCTCCCCACTCTGTCTCTGGTGAATCCTCTCACCTCTGCATGCCTGGCTTACACCCCAGTTCTTATATGCATAAATAAATAAATCTTAAAAAAACGAAAAGAGGACTGGAGAGTTCAGAGGTCCTGGATTAAGCTGTTTTCTTTACTACAGGACTTCTCAGCCTTGAGCATGTTTACTTGGGGAACTCAACAAGAGTTGTCAGTCTTTGCTGGCGACAGGACCTTTGTTCTTGTCGGGGCATCTTGTGGGGCTTCTGTTCAGCTGAGCAGTGTTGGAGGAACACAGGACCTCTGGCCTTGTGGGGGTGAGGCCCTGCTGGTTTAATGCCTCCTCGCTACCCTGACAGTTGCTTTTTCCTTGCACGCCAGGGAAGGAACTGGTGCACTTCCTGCGCCCACATTCCCAACTGCGCCTCAGTGCTGATTTGGAAGCCTTGGATCTGCAGGGCCTCCTGCCGGACCTGGAGTTGGCCCGGGCTTCAGTGCTGTCCACTGACAGTGGCATCGAGCGGGACCTTCCTTTTGGGACTGACGAGCTTCCCTCACCCAGCAGCCCTGAGATGGAGCGTGGGGGGCTACAGCGCAAAGGGGGCATCAAGAAGCGAGCATGGCCCCCATACATCCTGATGCCCAGCAGCTGGGATGTGCCCCCAGGGTTGCACCGGAGGACAGGCAGGCCCAGTGGGGATGGGGAACTGCTGCCCGGTGTCTCCCGGCTGCACACGGCTCGGGTGTTGGTTCTGGGGGACGACAGGATGCTGGGGCGCCTGGCCAGGGCCTACCACAACCTCAGGTAGGGCTCTGAGGGGGGCACCTGAGGGCTGGCATGGTGGGGCACAGGTGGGCCTGGTATGGGCTGGTGAAGGATGAAGTAGTGGTGAAGAAGGATCAGGAGGCAGAGCCAGGGTGGGGTGGGAAGTTTGGTGCCCCCTCCATCCTGCGACCATCAGGGAGCACTGCTGAGAAACAGGCCCAGGCTCACTGCTTTATGTTCGTGAGCTCCATAATCCTCATTGCGGCCTCCCACGCGCCGGCCTATAGAGGAGAAAACAGGCATGGAGAGATGGAGGAAACTGTCCAAAGTCAAGAGCTAGTAAATAGGAAGACCAAGGATGTGAAACCTTCACCAAAGCTGTGAAGCCACAATCCCTGCCCTCACCACCATGTTCTGCTGCTCCTTGCAGGAAACAAGAGACCCAGAAGTTCTGCCTCACCCCCAGGCTCAGCCTGCAGATCTACTACATCCCTGTGCTGGCGCCTAAGGTAGCTGGGCTGGGGGAGGGGGGGTGGCATGAAAAGGAGGGATGAGGTGGAGGGGGTGTCGGGAGCGGAGGATCAGGATTAGGGGCTGCATAAGGACACAGTGCAGCCTCCCACCCCATTTCCAGGGGCCAGGATCGCCCTTCCTAGGAGATGGAGCTGAGAGAGGCATGGACACTGGCCCTGGGAGCTGAAAGTGGTCGGAGATATGTTCTCTCAAGGCGGCAGCTGCCCGCGGCTGGTTTTTGCTTTGCTTCTCTAATGAAATTAATTGCAAGCTTCTCCTCCTCAAAGGGTTGCTCACACGCATGCAGAACCGCTTCCTGGATCACAGAAAAGGAAATTTCCAGCAGTGGAAGCCCGTTGATCTGTTGGGGGAGGTGAAGGCACACTTGCCATGTTTGTTTCTATTGCATACTCTGCTTCTTATTGGGGAGCACTCAAGGCAAAATGATACTCTGCCCTCCCCTTAAGAGGCTGGTGGTCACTTTCCAACTACCTGAGATATAAAACAGTCTTCACACGTTGTAGAAATCAAGGCCCAAAGAGCTTTAAGGGATTTGGCCACATCCACAAAGCTAGTACTAAGTTTGCCTAGGTCTGGTACCTGGGGGGCCTCTGGAAGAAAGTGCCAGAGGGTTTGCCACATCCCCTGTCCCCCATTCAGGTGCCTGCTGCTTATGCCACTTCTGAGCTGGGAGAGCTAGCTGCCTTCCTGGGCCGGGCAGACCCGTGGTATGAGATAACTGTGAACACCCTGTGCCCCGCCATCCACAAGCTGGCAGAGATGGTAAGGACAGCAAGGGCAGAGGGCAGGAGGGAGTGGGAGGGAACAATGTCCAGATACTACCTTTGACACCTGATCTTTGACACCAAGGACCTCCCTCCCCATCCCCTACCTCTCCCACATCCCCTCCAGGTGGGAGGAAGCAGGAAGCGAAAGCAGGACGGAACCAGTTGGGGTTGGGGTTTACTAAGAACACTTACACTGGGACAGACCACGGTGCAAAAGACAAGTTCAGCATTCTTCTAGCATGTGTAGACCACTTATTGTCCTTCTTTTGTGAGTTTCCTGTGATCTTCTGATCTTCTCTCCGATTGACCGAGCTCATGTTTCCTGAGCCTGATGTGTGCCAGGCACTGTTCTAAGCACTTAGATGCAGCACTCTGGCACCCAAGTAGGCACTCTTGCCAGCAGGGGCGATGACCACTGTATCCCTATTTTACAGATCAAACAGTTGAGGCACCAAGAGTTCAGGTCGCTTTCCCAAAGTAACCAAGAGTGGCCAATTCCCACATGGAGCCAGGGAGCTTGATTCCAGAGCATGTTCCATGAGTCACACATCTAGTGCCACCCTCAGCCCCCGGGAGGGAGCTCATCTTTTAATGGTTTACAAAGGCCTTTGGGAACATTAAGAGAAGCTTCTCCTTTTTTCTTCTCGTGTGTTGCATATTTCCCCACACACACACACTTTGTTCTTTGCCTTATCAATTTTGTCAGTAGTGTTTTTGACTTACAAAAGTTGGATATTTTTATTAATGCATAGATAGCACTTTTACCCTTTATGGTATTTTCATCTGGAGGCGTGCTTTGAAAGACCTCTGCTCCAAAATTAAATATTCACTGACAATTTACTGCTTTTAATGTCTCCGTTTTTACATTTAAATAACCCATCTGCAATTAATTTCAGCATTCAGTATGAAGCATGCAATTTTATTTTTTCCAAATGTTCAGCCAGTTGTCCTAAAGTTATTTATTGCAGAATCCATCTTGCCCCGTCAATTTGAATACCACTTCTATCCTTTACTAAATTCTTACATATGCTTGGACTTATTTCTGGATACCTATTCTTTCTCATTGATCTAGTCATTTCTATACAAATTAGCACTCTATATTTTAATATCTGGCAGAGTAAGCCTACCCCTTCACTCTTCTTTTTCAAAACTTTTCAGACTGTGCATGTTTATGTATCTTTCCAAATAAATTTTTAAATTTTGTTGTCAGGTTTTTTTGTAATACCTTTAGTGATTTTGATTGAAGTTTGGAGGAACACTAGCATCTCTGGCAAATTAGGTTACCCTCTCTGGGAACATGAAGTAACTCTGCATTTATTTATTTAAGTCTCCTCATAAATCCCACAGTATAGGAATACGGTTTTCATCATCCAGCTTTCACTCATTTCTTACTAAATTTATTCCTCGTGTTTGATAGTTTTTCCTTACAGTTGTGGATGCCTCTTTCTCCCATTATTTTTGAGTAGCTTTGCTCCTAGTATAAAAGAAACCTATTGGTTTTTACATACTTATTTTGTAACTTGCCACTTTACTGAGCTCTCTGTTTCACTTTATTGCTTGCTTGATTGGGGTGCATCTTATAGCTCTTACTCTAATGAAGAAGTTGGGGGGAGATGTATTTTTGAATCATTGCTTATCTGAAAATGTCTCTGCATGTACATAAAGGACCATTCAACTGTGTATCAAAGACACCTTTTTCTAAAAACTTGTAGGCTATTGTAGGAAGAACATCTACTGTACACTCTGCTGTTGGTAGCTGGAAATTGTGCATTGTTAGCAATGACAGCATTATTAGCATAAGGCTATAGTTCTTCATTGTCACCTTTTGGAAGGAAATAATATTCCCATAAACCATACACGATGTCACAAGAGATATTATAGCATCTGATATGAGATGGATGAGAAAAACTCTGAGCTTCTTTCCAACTCTGTTCCAATCTTTCTACCAGGTTTCACGTAGACATTCTGTTTTGTTTGGCTAAAATACCCAGTCATTATGCTTTATAATCATGGGGTTAGGGAGGGCCTATAGGGCATGGCACCAGTCCTTACCCAATAATGTATAGACATAAATCAGATACCACAAAAACTGAAATTCCTAATTTTTATTAATTCAGAATTCAGTTTATTATTTTTAAAAAGATTTATTTTATTTATTTATACATACAAGAACTGGGTGTAGGCCTGAGGTGTGGAGTGTGAGAGGATTCACCAGAGACATAGCAGGGAGCAGAACAGGCATATGTACTGAAATAAACTCCTGAGGGGAGCAGCGGGGGAGACAGAAGAGTTCTGCTGAGCCATGTGGGTAGCTCCCTGCCTGGGAGATTGAACTCATGCCACAGTGGCTGGTGATAACTTTAACCCCTGGACCACCAGGGAGGCCCCAGTTTATTCTTTTTTTTTTTTTTAATTTGACTGCATTTTGCAATCATCTTGGGAGTTTCATTTTTATTTATTTAAGAAAAAGTTTATTTTTCTTTCTTTCTTATACCCCTTGGCTCTTTTTTTCTCTCCCTTCCCTTTTAACTTCTGAAATCTCACTTTATTTATCAATGTCTGCTACTTTTTGTAAGTATTTTGCATGTCAAATTGTCCACTATGTAAACATGCCCTTTCTTGATTTTGCCATTCTTATTTGCCTTACTACACATAATTCCCTCAAATATTTTCCATTTTGCTGCAAATATTAACATTTCATCTTTCCTGAGGTCAAAACAAACAAAGATACCCTAGAAAAGGGGCTAGAAAATGTAGGAATAATCTTTTTTATTTCTATTGGAGTGGGAGAACTTTCAGAATTGAATTGTTCCTAGTGTACCAACCTCATAGCATCACAGCATCTTTTGTGTGTTTACATAGAGCTTTCAGATTATTCTCTTATTTGACCCTCTCCAAGATCCTGGAAGGATAGGCAAGGTGGTCATGAATAGCCCTATTTTGGGGCCTCCCTGGTGGCACAGCGGTTGAGCGCTGGCTACGAAGCTGCCCGCAGCCTCTGCAGCACCTGTTCGATCCCTGGCCACCGGCGAGGGTCCCACATAGAGCGCAGACCTCTCCTGCCGTGCCCGCTGCTCCCCTCAGCAGTGTGTTTTGTAAGTCTGTCTGTTCTGCTCCCCGCTCTGGCTTTGGTGAATTCTCTCACCCTCCCGCACTTCTGACTATAGCCAGTGCTTGCATAAATAAATAAATAAATCTTTTAAAAAGCCCTATTTTTCTCATGATTCAACTGTTACTATCGCAATTAAAAATAATACAATAAAAAATTACAAAAAGAAATGACAGTACATTGTAAACTGTAAAGCAATAGTTGCTTGTGAAATTTATTTATTCTTTCTCTTTCTAAAAAGAATGGGTGGTACTTTTAGTGTTATTGCACTTTATTTTTTTTAAAGATTGATTTATTTATTTATACAAGCACTGGATACAGTCAGAAGCACGGGAGGGCGAGAGAATTCACCAGAGCCAGAGCAGGGAGCAGAACAGGCAGAAGGACCGAGGTACACTGCTGAGGGGAGCAGCGGGCGGCAGGAGAGGTCTGTCGCGCCATGTGGGACCCTCGCCGGTAGCCGGGGATCGAACCAGTGCTGCAGAGGCTGCGGGCAGCTTCGCAGCCCAGCGCTCAACCGCTGCGCCACCAGGGGAGGCCCTGTTATTGCACTTTATTCTTCATATTTATTGAAGAATAAATGGGCAGCTTCGCAGCCCATATTCTTCAGATTTATTGAAATATTACTATAATCATTGACATACAATAAATTTCACATATTTCAAAAATGCAATTTGATATACACACATACAGCTGTTGTATCATCATCACAATCAAATAGTAAATATATCAAACACGCTGAAAAAAAACACATTACATCTTTCCTTATTGCTGAAGAAGTGGTGAGAGTGGGCATCCTTGTTTTGTTCCTGATATTAAAGGGAAAACTTTTAGTTTTTCAGCGTTATCTCTTATGTAGACTGTAGGTTTGTGATATAGGGCCTTTATTGTGTTGAGGTAGGTCCTCTATTCCCATCTTGTTTAGAGGTTTTTATCATAAATGGATATTGAACCTTATCAAATTATGTCTCTGCATCTATTAATATTATCATAGGATTTTAATTTCTTTTGTTGATGATTGATTTACATGCATTAAACCATCCTTGCATCTCTGGTATCATCCCACTTGATCACGATGTATAGTCCCTGTAATGTATTGTCGAATGCAATTTGCTTGTATTTTGATGAAGTCTTTTGCATCAGTGTTCATTAGAACTATTGGTCTATAGTTTGCTTGTCTTGTTTCTATATGGTTTCAGTATTATGGTGATGTTGCCATAAAACGTATTAGGGAACATTCCCTTTTGGATTTTAGAGATAATTTGAGCAAGATGGGTATAAGTTCTTCTTTAAAGGGTTGATAGAATTTACTTGTAAAGCTGTCTGGCCCTGGGTTTTTGTTTTGGGGGAGATTTACTGTTTCAATATCCATGATTGTGATTGGTTCATTCAATTCTTCTGTTTCTCTCTGGTTTAGTCTCTGTGAACCGTATTGCTCTAGAAATTTGTCCATTTCTTCAATATTATTGAGTTTATTGACATGTAATTGTAATTGCTTATGATATTTTTCCTTTCTATGCCATCTGTAGTAATTTCTCATCTTTCATCTTTAATTCTGTTTATTAATTCTCCCTTTCTTCTTTGCTAGCCTAGCTAGTTAATTTTGCTTATCTTCTCAAACCAACTCAGATACCACAAAAACTGAAAGCTATATCAGACAATCAGGTCTTACTCCCAGGGCTACCTGGCTGGCGAGAGTAGCTGATCCAAACCTGGAACCCATTCCAGACCCTTTCATCACCAGTTATATTCTCAAGTGTCTTGTCTGCCCCAAGCACTCAGCACAGTGCCTTCCATACAGAATTACTCAATATTTCTTTTGCAATTGGAATAAATCAGGATCCCTGAGGACATGGGACTTTTAATTAGGATTGGAAATAGGGTGGTAGGTATGTTGAAGGACCCGTTGGGCTAGTATATCACAGAGGGCATGTGGGGGCCTTAGAATTTCTCTTAGAAAATAGCACTTCTCAGAGTTGTTGAAGGAAGGTGAACAAGACATTCTCTCCCTCACAGCCTCCTGCCCTGGACACATCCCGCACTGTGGACCCCTTCATCCTGGATGTCATCACCTACTATGTCCGCATGGGCACCCAACCCATCTATTTCCAGATCTACACAGTCAAGGTAAACTTCCCACCCAGGGCTCAAAAATGTCACCAGGACTCTCTCCCTCTCTGTCACATCATCTGTCATCTTGGTGTGAAAGCATCCACCAGAAGTTCCAGGGCTTCATCTGGCTTTGCAGCCCTGATAGGAAGAGGGCTTTCCTTTCCAATAGTTGCAGAAAAGTCCCAGGATGGCGACAAGTACTTATACCTGCACCAGTCCCTATGACCTCTTGGATCACCTGTCACCTGTGCCAGCGGGGCGGGGTCCCCATCTCCATTTCCTTATGACTCACTTGACCTTCATACCATGGCAGTCTGGCTCCCCTAAATCCATTCTTGCCTCTAACTATCATAGCTGCAGATGTGTGTCACTCCCCACTAAAAGTATGGATCCCCCAAGATAAGGGACTATACTTCATTCTTCTTTGGAGCTCCTGCTACTAATACAATAAATTCTGTGTGTGTGCGTGTGTGCATGTGTGTGTGTATCAGAGTGGGTCATGTGTTACTGGGGGACAGGCAAAGGGGTTTGGGTGTAGAGCTAAGGCATTTTGGGGTAGTAAAAAGTTCATGGTTTTGTGTGCTGGTTCCTCCATTTGTTAGCTAGCTTATCACAGCCACCTCTACCTCTCTTATTCCCCGTCTTTAATATGGGAATAATAATCCCCCCCTTGCATGAGGGTTCATGAGAATTCAAATGAGTAGAAGAATAGTAAATAGATGGGGGAAGACTGAGGCAAGGAGGTTAAGTACACAAAGGGTCTGCTCTAGTGGTCAAGAACTTGAATGGAAACCTCAGCTGTGCTACTTGTGACTCTGGGCAAGTTATTTAACATCTCTGAGCCTCAGTTTGGAGGTCCCTAAAATAAGGTTAATGACACCTACCTCCCAGGGTTAAATGGGGTCCTGTCTATCAGCTCTGAGAGGATCCAGCACACAGTCAGATGTCCACAAAGGGGACTTGAGTTCCTCTCCCCCAGCTCCCTGTCACTTGTTCCCACATGCCTTCTGCCCTGTTCACCCATCCTCCCCCGGCCCCACTCACATCCCCACAGCAAACCTTGGCCATGGACACTTGGACATACATGTGGAATTCAAGTGAAGGTCCCTTGCTTATAAAAATCTAGCAACCATTGCCTTGACTGGCCATTCCTTATTTCTAGGGACACCCCATGATACCCACTCTCCTGAGATTTTTGTGTCTGGGAACTAATTTCTCATGGCACCTCTGCTGCTATCTTCCTATCTTACTGGATTCTTGTTCTTCACTCTGCATCCAGTGGTAGAACTTCTGTATGTCACCTTCCTGATTTTGACCTAAGAGAGAAATTCAGATTTCTTTCTTTGATTTCCAAAATGCAAGCCAAGACAACATGAAACAAACAAATAAATGGGAAATCCCCCTCAAGCTGGTAAAGGAAGTCAATGTCCCAGCAATGCAAATATCTCAAAGACCAGGCACTGGTCACTGCTGTTCAGCCAGAGGCTCCTGGAGCACATCTGTGGCCACAATGGACTGTGGTGTTGGACAAGGGGTGATTTGGTGGTGGGAGAACTACAGTGACCACACCTGAGGGGAGAAATCCTATACTGTCAAAAAATTTACAACGGTGTAAGAAAAAAGCACATCAGGACCTCCCTGGTGGTGCAAGGAGTTAAGCATAGCACTAAGAAGCCTCTGCAGCACGAGTTTGATCCCCAGCCAGCCAGGGAGCTGACCCACATGGTGCAGCAGACCTCCTCTGGCTCACCCACTGCTCCCCTCAGCAGTGTATTTCGGTTAGTCTGTCTGTTCTGTTCTCCACTCTGTCTCTGGTGAATCCTCTCACCCCCCACACCTCTGGCCTGTACCCCAGCTCTTCTGTGAATAGATAAATAAATCTTTAAAAAAAGAAAAAAGAAAAGAAAAGGCACATCACTAAAAAACAAATTAATAAAAAAAGTTGGGGGCCTTCCTGGTGTCACAGTGGGTTGAGCACAGCGCTGTGAAGCTCTCGGCAGCCTCTACAGTGCAGATTTGATCCGGCCAGCCAGGGAGATACCCACATGGTGCAGCAGACCTCTCCTGTCGTGCCCCCTGCTCCCCTCAGCAATGTATTTCGGTCATCTGCCTGTTCTGCTCCCTGCTCTGTCTCTGGTGAATCCTCTCACCCTCCTGCACCTCTGGCCTGTACCCCAGCTTTTGTAAAAAAAATATATAAATCTTAAAAAATAATAAAATAAAAAAGGTTGGATTTCTGGACATGTTGCAGTGAGGAAATGAACCCTTGGAGAACTGTGAAGCATCTTGGGAAGGGGTTTAGAAAGAAGAGGTTATAGGGCTTGGACTTACGTTAGGGGATTTGGGAGAGGGTTCCAAAAAGCAGGACCTTACTCTGGACTGGATGCCTGCAGGAAGTAGGAATAATTCTATGTTTGGATTCCTCAGTTGTTCTTACCACAATTCTTTGATTCTAAGAAGCAGCAGCTGCTCACGTTTGCTGCCGTGGGAGGGTAGGTGGACATGGCCTGCGTTGTATTCTTGGTATTGCCTGTGTTTGAACATGATTGTGATGTGTCTGATGTCTACAATGTTGGCACCTTTGAAACTGTGCACGGCCAAGGTCTCACTGAGTGCCAGCCCAGCTCCCGGCTCTTCACTCCTCATTTCAAAAACTCCAGTGATCATTATTCCCTGTTGTTTTGACATCTCCTCTCTTGTCCTGTCACACTTTGCCTCGACCTCTTCTTGGTCCTGCTTCCCTCAGGTCCCTCTCCACCCCCCATATTTCCTCAAACAGTTCTCCCTAGCTCTCCCCTCTGCAAGTGCCTCATGTCCAGGACAGCCAAGTTCTCCTTTCTGGCCCCCACCCTTTCATCCTTGCCTTCCAGTGTCCACAAGGGACTATTACTCTTCGCTTATGTGCATTTTTGTCCCCTCACTCCCACCATAGTGTTTACAGGGAATCTGGGTTTCAATAGTAGTTTCTCCCACTATTTGTAAATATGCTATATAGCTGAAGATGGGATAAATGGGTAGCTGTCTGGATAGAGTCAGATCCAGTAATCACTGGGTACAGCTCAGAATCTAGCATGCGCAGAATGTCCTCTGCCCTGGACTGTCTCTAATCACCCACATCCTTGGGCTTTGGGGGCTACAGGGAGAGAGGGGAGCTGCCTCTGACAGAGAGTTGGCCTTCTCCACACCTCCTCCCTTCCTCTCCAGATCTTCAGCAACCTGAACCCAGACCCTATAGAGGACATCTTCCTCACAGAGCTGAAGGTAAAGATTCAAGACGCCAAGCTCCCCAGAGGTGAGCATCTGTTTCCCTTTCTAAAGTTCACCCTGACTCAGTTTCCCCAAGCCCCATTTCAGAACATCCTCTCACCTCTCACCTAATGAACCCCCATCCCATTTCTGTTGAGTACCAGGTGCCCTTGGCTTCCTTCAAACTCAAGGGCAGCTGGCACCAGTGGGGTGCCGCCCTTCCATCTAATGAGCGCTTAGCTGAAGCCTCAGTGTGGAGGGGAAGCCAAAGCCGGGAGGGGTGGGAAGGGCTGGAAGTCCCACTTGCAGCGTCTTCTGATTCCTCAGAAGGTATTTCGCCCAGAAGAAGAGGGATGACGGAGGTTCCAGGGGCAGAGCTCTCCATTTGCTACCAGAAGGTCAGTGGCCAGGGAGTACGCTGCATGGAAGCAGGTGTCAGGGGCCTGGGGGGAGTGGGGAGCAGATGAAGCCAAAGGAACCAAATGTTCTTTTCCTGAGGCTGCCCCAGAGTTTTCCAGCCTTTGCAGAGTTTTGTAAGGATGGGTGGGTTGCAACTGGCCTTATACATAGATGAATAGACCTTATACATAGATGAATAGTCCCTTGCCTAAAACAATTGTCTTTACTAGCTGACCAGATGTGCTGGAGACCTAACCCTTTGGGTCTGGAAGGTTAAGCATGCTCCCGAGGCAAGGAGTGCGCTAAGGCGTTATTAGCTAGCCCCTTACTGAGCATCAGTGACAGACAGGGCTCTTGGGGCAGAGGCGGGAAGCAGGATTGTTAATGTGAGGTGCATGCATTGTCCTGCATGAGGACCCCCATACATCCTTGCATCCCCCTCCCCAGGCACTACTCAGCCACCGGGCCCGAGAGGTCACCGTTTCCCTGCGGGCCACTGGGCTGGTCCTGAAGGCCCTTCCAGCCAGTGACACTGAAGGTGAGGAGCTAGGAGAAGAGAGAGAGAAAGAAGAAGGGTGGAAAGGAGAGAGGGTTGGATGACCAGAGGCTGGACGAGCCTCCCAGATGTCCCTCCCCCTGGGACCACAGAGTGAAAACTGACATGGTAAAGTGGAGGGGGGTGCTTCCAGGATTAAGAAAGGTCCCACACTCGCTCTTGACTGAGGAGCTTGCATTCTGACACTGGACAGCCCCTCTGCAGCCGTGGGGACCAGCAAGAAGGTGGAGGGACCACGTGCATTCACCCCCTGCCTCTGCATGGGGCTGCAGACTAGTGGCATATTGTGTGGAAATTTTTGATTTTGAAGTTTGTTCCATGGGGCAAGGCAAGTACTCTGCAGTTCACAGAAGTCACCATGAGTTGAAATGACCTAATTTTAACTCATTATTTAATTATAGATGTACATTAGATATTGTAAGTTGCCAGTTATCTACATCTAAACTATAGAAGATAAAACATACCAATTCTCGTGCATACAATAAATTATAAATGAGCTCTTATTAGGTCCCTGGTCACCTGGAATAACGCAAATGTTGATAATGTGGATTACTAACCACTGCACACGTTTAACTATGGCAATATCTCTGTCAAACTTACTCTTTTAAACGTGTTAACATTATGAGATCGGTATTATAAGTATTAGCAAATTTATTACCAGAGAGGACACTGAAGCAAAAAAAACCAAAGAATTTACCCAAGGTCACATCCATGAGGAAGAGTAAGAGCTGGGACTTGGCGCCAGGGAATCTCACACTGATCCCATGTCCCTTACCGACTCCTCTCATGGCCTCCCCTGGGACTGCCAAATCTCAACAGGTCAGACTTCAGGAATATCACCCACAGAGATACTTCAAGGAGATGGTTTCAGAGCAAACAGGAAGTTTACCTAGGCAGAGATTTATCTGCTTCAGTACTTCACCCCCAGTGCCTAGCACATGTCCTGGTAGAGTAGATACTCAATAACATTTGCTAAATAAACAAAGTGCTACTTTACACCCAAACTTTGTTTTAAAAAATGAACCAATCTGGAAAATTCCACAAGAAATACAGAATGAAGATACATATTAGCCAGGCTGGAATGCCTGTGATAATCCTCTCCTGTTCCTCTTCTCCTATCCAAATATGAGTAACCACTCTGTCTCTAAAATCCTCCATGGCTTTGCTAGCCTTCCCACTGTGACACCTCTGTCTGTAAAGCCGTTCTTTTATTATATGGGCATCATTGCTCTCGTAAGAGCCATGGCATCTGGCACAAAAAAGAAACCCAAGAAATAATGATTGATTTGATTACTTCCTAATAAAATGACTTCCAAGTGCATTGAAATTGTAGATGATAGGAAACTATCAGCAAGACATTCTTGCTGATTTTTTTAAAAGATTTATTTTATTTATTTATGCATACAAGAGCTGGGGTACAGGCCAGAGGTGTGGGGGTGTGAGAGGATTCACCAGAAAAAGAGTAAGGAACAGAACAGGCAGATCTACTGAAACACACTGCTGAGGGGAGCAGCGGGCGAGACAGAAGAGGTCTCCTGCGCCATGTGGGTCACCTCCCTGGCCCGGGATAGAGCTCGTGCTGCAGTGGTTGTGGATAACCTCATAGTGCTGCGACTTAACCCCTTGCGCCACCAGGGAGGCCCCTTGCTGATCTTTAATACCATGAAGGAGAGGTATTATTTAGGCCACAGGTCTTAGCATTGGGTTCCTGGTAGCATCACAGAGTGAGTGGGTCAAGAGCAGAGATCCTAGAACCAGATGGGCAGTCTTCCAAGTCCAGCTTTGCTACTTACCATCAGTGTGACCTTGGGCAAGTTACTTGTGACCTCTTTACCGGTTTTGTCACTTCTTAAGTGGAGATAAGAAAAGATAATGATTTATGTGCATATAGTAAACTATAATGTTAGCTCTTATTTTTTCAATTGTATTTCTTCATAGCCCTCTTTCTACCCACCCAACTCTAATGTGTGTGCTTTCTCCAAATTTTCTATCACAAAACCCAATCAGAACTGGTCTGATGATGCTAGAAGCCTCCTATGACATCTAAGAACTCTCCTTAGTTGGCCGAAAGGGAATGTGTACCAGGCTTTCCTGGTACACATGATGAGCTATTACAGAAGTCAGGGGAGACTCAACTTGTTGGCACTAATGCTCCCCTACCTCCTTCAGTGCCTCTGTTGTACACCAAATCCTGAGAAGGTGTTCCCTCCATTCTTAGCTTCCAGGGGAGTTAAACAGAATGCTCTTGGGGGGACAAAGAGGTACAGAAGGAGGTGAAGAAAGGTGTTGGCTTGGTGGTGGCTATGATGCCTGAGGATACAGAAACACTGGATTCACCAGGGAAGAGAGATGCATGATTAAAGGGAACTGAAACTTGGCTAGGATGGAGGTGGAGTAGGGGAGTGGGGACTGAGCAGAGTGTAAGGGTAGGTTAGAATGGGGAAAAGGGGGACAAGGGGTTCATGGAAGTCTTCTTCGAGCCTAGAATTGCAAACCCTCCCATTTCTCTGGATGTCCATACACAGCTGTCCCCAACCACCCATCTCTTTCCTTCCAGTTTCAGGGCCCACCTACTGCTCCCCAAATGCTGCTCCAGTTACTGACCACATGTGCCTAAATGTCAGCGTGATGGAGGTTGTCAAGTCCTCCAACTTGGCAGGACGATCCTTCTCGGTAAGCACTGGGTACCCAACCAAGTTGCATGACTGGGAGCCCCAGGGGAAGGGTCATCAGAGACCAGAAAATGACAGCGGAACACATAAACAACAGCCCAACCTAATCAAGCCAGCCCTTTCAACCTCATTGCCTGTACTGCTGCCCTTTCACTTTATTGATACTTATTTATAGGGATTTCCTTATTAATAAAGACACAGTACACATCCTTTTACCTTCCTGATGGCCCCTTTGGACTTTACTTCCCTGCTCAGCTTGGTCTTGGATTCCATGATCACACCCGAACCATGTTCTTGGACACCCTCACTTCCCCAACACCACCCACCAGGCAAACACTCACTTCAAGCCACCTATTCAGGGATATGCCAAGTGCTTCTGGAACCAATGAATCCATCCTACATTCATGTAGAAATTGGCCATCACAAATCCATGACCTCCTACCTCAACTGGATCCTTAGCACCACTCAATCCTCCTCTGTCTCTTCCAGGCTCTTCTCCATCTGTTTCCAGTTCTTTGTTCTCCAGCTTTGACCTCTCCCCCTCCATTGCCTTCCTCTCAGCCCATAACCATGTTCAGCTCTTTTCCATGACAAAAAGAAAACTTTCTATCATGACCCAGCTACCTTTCCAGTTACCACTGAATCTCCTTCCTTCACTTCTTGGATTCTTGGGACACCCTTAAGGGTCCCTTCCAAAGACTGTCCTACCCATTGCCCTCTACTCACAACCCATCCCACTGTAGGAAAGTCACCCCCATGTTGCCAAGGTCACTCTTTACCCCTTCTATTTCTTTATCCTCCCCTTCCCTATAAGCAAAAGTTTAGTCATTCATTTTGGAAAGTGCAAAAAAACACAAAGAAGTAGATCTGCTAATATTCCACTACCTAGAGAAGGAAGAATTATTATTAACATTTTGAGGTATAAACATCCAGCCTTTTTTTCCTATGTGTTTTTACACAGTTGATTGCTGCAATCACACTGGTCTATAACTTGACATTTTTACTCAAAAATATACTAAAGCATTGTGAATATGTCTTGGTAGGTTCTTACTTGGGTCATTATTCTGTGTGTCATTAAGTATATTTCATTTAGTATTTGTTCTATGATGGCTACATTGGCCATTTAATTGATTTCTTATTATACATTTAAGTTTTCATTTCTGCCTATTATAAGCTAGAGTGTGAGGAACATAAGTAGGGAAAAATATTTGCTAAAAATCATGGTTATTTACTTTTTTAAAAAATGCTTTCAAGTGCCATCACTCAGTTAAATGGCATTTATATTGTAGGAATTTTTATGTATTTTACCAAATTGTTCTGCATATGTTCCCCTCTTACCATAGTGTTTAAGAGTTCCAGTTTCACTGTACAATGACTAACTTTTTTTATCTCTGCAAATGTAATTGTCAAAATTTTCATTACTTCAATTAATATTTTTTTCTTTACCAATGGAGCTGAGTAAGTTATTTTTATTGATAATTTATATTTCTTCATTGTCCATTTCCTGTTTTATTCTTTTTTAAAAAAATATTTATTTATTTGTGTATGCAAGAACTGGGGTACAGGCCAGAGGTGTAGGGGGTGAGAGGATTCACCAGAGACAGAGTGGGGAGTAGAACAGGCAGATCCACTGAAACACCCTGCTGAGGGGAGCAGCAGGCAAGCCAGGAGAGGTCTGCTGCACCATGTGGGTTGCTCCCTGGCCGGCCAGGGATCGAACTTGTGCTGCAGAGGCTGGTGATAGCTTGGTAACACTGTCTGTAACCCCTATGCCACCAGGGAGTCCCTCCTGTTTTATTTTTGTCCTATATTAGTGTTGTGATATCCCTTTTTTATGATATGAAAACACTAACCCCTTATTTGTCATATGTTTCTCAACTTTTTAATGTTTTTTTGGTTTGTTTGTTTTGTTTTTTGAAAATAAATTTTATTTTTATATTCCCCATACAATTGCAACCCCCTTATTTTGACCCCAATTCCTCCCCTCCCCGCCCCCCACCCCCCATAGAGTCTCTCTGGTTCATAGTTGTTGATTTTGATTTTCACTTTCTTATAGTTATTCATTTTCCTGGTCCCTTATTTAAGTTTTCTAGCTTCCTGCTATGAGGGAGACCATCCAGTATTTTTCTTTTTCTTTCTGGCTTATTTCGCTGAGCATGATCCCTTCCAGTGCCATCCATGTTGCTGCAAATTGCATGTGTTTATCTTTTTTGAATGCTGAGTAATATTCCATGGTGTATATGTACCACATCTTCTTGATCCAGTCATCTATTTTTGAGCATTTGGGTTGTTTCCAAAGCTTAGCTATTGTAAACAGTGCTGCTATAAACATAGGGGTGCAGGTGCTCTTTGGAATTGATGTTTCTGTGTCCTTTGGGTAAATACCTAGGAGTGGAATTGCTGGATCATATGGGAACTCTATGTTTAGTAGGTCAAGAAATCTCCACACAGCTCTCTATAGTGGTTGGACCAGTTTGCACTCCCACCAACAGTGCAGGAGAGTTCCTTTTTCTCCACACCCTCCCCAACATTTGTTGTTGGTAGTTTTTTTAATATGTCTCATTCTCACTGGTGTAAAATGGCATCTCAGTGTAGTTTTGATTTGCATTTCCCTGATTACAAGTGATGTTGAACATTTTTTCATATGCCTGTTGGCCATTTGCATTTCCTCTTCAGAGAAGTTTCTTTTTAGCTCTTCTGCCCATTTTTTGACTGGATTATTTTCTTTGTTGTTGCTGAGTCTCAGCAGCTCTTTGCAGATTTTTGTGATCAGTCCTTTATCATTAGTGTTGTGTGCAAAAACGTTCTCCCAGTCGGTGGGGTTTCTCTTTGTTTTTGTTATTGTCTCTTTTGCTGTGCAGAAGCTCTTTAATTTGATGTAGTCCCAGCTGTTTATCTTTGCCTTCACTATCACTGCTTTGGGTGATGTGTCTGTAAAGATGTCTTTGATGTGCAAATCACGTTGTGTTTCGCCTCTATTTCCTTCTATGTATTTTATGGTTTCAGGTCTTATGTCTAGTTCTTTAATCCATTTTGAGTTGATTTTTGTGTATGGTGTGAGGTAGTAGTCAAGCTTCATTCTTTTGCATGTAGCGACCCAGTTTTCCCAGCACCATTTACTGAACAAACTTTCTTTGCTCCAATGGATATTCTTTGCTCCTTTGTCAAAGATTAGTTGACCATAAATCTGTGGGTTTACTTCTGGATTTTCTATTTGATTCCATTGGTCTGTGTGTCTGTTTTTGTTCCAATACCATGCAGTTTTAATGATTATGGCTTTGTAGTATAGTTTGAAGTCTGGGAGTGTGATGCCTCCATTCCCTTCTTTTTTTTTTTTCAGGAGAGCTTTGGCTATTCGGGGTTTTTGGTGATTCCATATGAATTTCATCAATAATTGTTCTATTTCTTTGAAGAATGACATTGAACTTTTGATTGGAATAGCATTGAATCTGTATATTGCTTTTGGTAGGATGGCCATTTTAATAATGTTTATTCTTCCAATCCATGAGCAGGGGATGTCTTTCCATTTTTTTGTGTCTTCTATTTCTTTTAACAGTGTTTTATAGTTTTCTTTGTATGGGTCCTTTACCTCTTTTGTTAGATTTATTCCCAAGTATTTGGTTTTTTTTGTTTTGATAATAAAAGGGATTTTTTTTTTTATTTCTTCTTCTTCAGATTTACTGTTTGTGTATAGGAAGGCTACTGACTTTCGCATGTTGATTTGTATCCTGCCAATTTACTGAACTGATTGATGAGTTGAATTAGTTTTTCTGTGGAGTTTTTGAGGTTCTCTATGTATATTATCATATCATCTGCAAATAGTGATAGTTTGACTTCTTCTTTTCCTATTTGGATTCCTTGTATGTCTTTCTCTTGTCTTATTGCTCTGGCTAAGACTTCCAGTATTATATTGAAAAGCAGTGGTGACAGTGGACATCCTTGTCTTGTTCCAGATCTTAATGGAATTGCTTTCAGCTTTTCACCATTGAGAATGATACTGGCTGTTGGCTTGTCATATATGGCCTTTATGATGTTGAGGTATGTTCCTTGTATCCCAAGAATTTCAAGGGCTTTTATCATGAATGGGTGTTGCACTTTGTCAAAAGCTTTCTCAGCATCTATTGATATTATCATATGGTTTTTTTATTTCTTTTTGTTGATGTGTTGGATAACGTTGATTGATTTTCAGATGTTGAACCATCCTTGTGTCCCTGGAATGAATCCTACTTGGTTGTGGTGAATTATCTTATGTATACATTGTTGGATTCTGGTAGCTAAAATTTTATTGAGGATTTTTGCATCAGTGTTCATTAGGGAGATTGGCCTGTAGTTTTCCTTTTTTTGTGTTGTCCTTGTTCGGTTTTGGTATTAGTGTAATGTTGGCTTCACAGACATGTTTGGTATTGTCCCTTCCTTCTCAATTTTTTTGAAGAGTTTGTGAAGGATAGGCACTAATTCATCTCTGAATGTTTGGTAGAATTCATTTGTAAATCCCTGATGCAAAAATCCTCAATAAAATTTTAGCTATCAGAATCCAACAATGTATCCATAAGATAATTCACCACGACCAAGTTGGATTCATTCCAGGGGCACAAGGATGGTTTAACATCCGAAAATCAATCAACGTTATCCAACACATCAACAAAAAGAAATATAAAAACCATATGATAATATCAATAGATGCTGAGAAAGCTTTCGACAAAGTGCAACACCCATTCATGATAAAAGCCCTTGAAATTCTTGGGATACAAGGAACATACCTCAACATCATAAAGGCCATCTATGACAAGCCAACAGCCAGTATCATTCTCAATGGTGAAAAGCTGAAAGCAATTCCATTAAGATCTGGAACAAGACAAGGATGTCCACTCTCACCACTGCTTTTCAATATAATACTGGAAGTCCTAGCCAGAGCAATAAGACAAGAGAAAGACATCCAAGGAATCCAAATAGGAAAAGAAGAAGTCAAACTATCACTATTTGCAGATGATATGATAATAT